TCTCCCATTTCATAACGACGCTTGAATTATCGAACCCATATAATGATCGTACTTTTGGAATGATTCTATCATTTGCTTGTATTTCATTTACCACTCTCAATAAAATAATGTTCACTAAGCTACCTGGGTCAATCAAAACTCGTTTAACATTAGTATCATGTACAAGTAAAGATACTATCAGTACATTGTTGTGAGGAATCATTAAACCATCCGCGTATTCGTCATCAAACATTATGCAGTCTCCTTCCAAAACTTGGCAAACTCGTTTTTTGTGAGTGACAGCGACCTTTGATGTCTTTTTCGCAGATGTGTATGTTACCCCATTAACTTCTTCTCCCCCAGTTATGACGTTTACTGTTCTTTTTGGAGATGGAGGCTTTGGTGGTTCTTGCTTATTTTTCACGTATGATTGTTTTCCTTTCTCACTGAACAGATCATTGAGATAGCCTTGCTTTAGTAAATATTCAACTTTCCTTTGTAAGAGCCTGTAATCTGTTGTTCTATGGCTATGATCATTGTGAAACTCGCACCAGAATTATGGGTTCCTTTTGTTTGGATCCGATCTCATCTCATTTGGACATCGTACCTTGTATCCTATTCCTCTTAGAACAACCACCAATTCAGAATGCTGACATTAAAACTATAATCTCCTATCCTTGCTTGAGTGTTGGAATCGTTGCCTCGGGTGTCCCGTTCCTTTTTGAATCGGGAAGAAGATCTTGTCTCCTTTTGCCTTGATCTTGAATCAAAATGTGCATTCTCTTGTTTAGGCTGGGAATCTCGCCTTGCAGGTCCCATGTAAGGCTCGTACCTATACTTACCAGAGAGAACCTTCTCTCTGATTCCAAACATCTAGATCCTAGCATTCCATCCGCCCTTGGCACCGTATCTTCTTCTATCTGCAGCTTCGTGTTGTATCGATTGTACACATTGTTCCAAGTAATTGCAGGAAACTCCCGTAAACTTTCTTTCAACCTCCTTGTGGCTTCTTAACTTTTCTCATTCAAATTTCTTGCAAATGCCATAGCCGTACAATTATCAGGTACTCGCGGCAGCATCATTCTCTCACGTTGGAATGTATCAACGAATTCTCTAAGCAATTATGTACTTTTCTGTTTAACTTTGAAGATATCCTCCATCCTTTATCAACTTTTTGAGCCCTTGAATGTGCTTTTCTAAACGAATCTGCAAGCTCAACAAAAGAATCAATAGAGTTTTCAGATAAGGGTGAGTACTGCGTTAACGCCCCTTTCGTGAGTGTTTCACCAAACTTCTGACCAATACTGATTCAATTTTCTGCTTGGTTAAATTATTGCCTTTTATGCATGTGGTGAACGCAGTAACGTGATCTCGTGGGTCAGATGTCCCATCATATTTAGGGATATTAGGCCTTTTAAAATTTTTGGAAATTGGCAAGGGTACTGCACTTGGCTTCCAGAGTTGTTGTGAATATTTGTCAATATCCACACCCTTAATTACAGGAGGCACGCGGGTATTTTCTCTATACGCTCATGTTGCTCCTTCAGCTATTTCTAAGGAGTTTGTACTAAACTTTGTAAATTGAAATTATTAGGTGTACCTGATCCTCCATTACAAGATTTCTTTGGCATTTCTCCACTTCCAAAATTATCAAGTCCTGAACGTTGATTTTCCAAGGTGGTATTCACTGGTGGTGGAGTTTGTGCTGCGTTGGGCAATCCACTCGTAAAAGCTCATAGTGCTTCGTTCACGTGTTATGCAATCAACTGCTTCAAAGCATCCTGCTCGATGGTTTGTTCACCTCCATGTTGCCCATCAGTACGTGAAACAGAGCTTTCAGATTAACTTTCTTGTGAATGCTGAAGTGTAATTGTCGGTGTGTGATGTGGTGGAGTTCCACCTTGTTGATTCAACTAGTTATTTTCTTTAGAAGTAGACATGTTTTGTTGCTAAAAAATGAGATTTGAAAAGTGAACAGATTATTAGATTCCTGGTAACGGAACCATTTTGTTTAACCCAAAAATAGATTTCTAGGTCAAAGCTAATATTAGAAAAAAAAATTAAGTTACTGATAACCAAAATTACTTTACTTTCTTGGTAATTCAAAAAATATATAAAAAATAATAAAAATAATAGGTAAGGAAATAAATCTAATGTTCATTGCTAATCTCTCCCAGAATTACGGTTTGAACACTTTGAATAAAGTAAAGACTAATTGCATATATTCAAAAATATTCAGATGCCTTTACAAATAAGGAACGGGTCCTTATATAAGGTTACATAATTATAACGGTTTTCCTACTTAATTCTGGCTCGTTAATGACATTAATTGCCTTGATTGTCGTTACCATATTTAATAGTAACTGTTATAATAATAACTGCGGATTTTCCGTAATCAAAATCAATGCCGATTTCCCTTCCTTATTTATAACAGATTCATGAATCTTCCCTTTTTATGATCTTCATTCATCTCGTGTCTATTTCTTCTTTTCCGGCTGTCAGGGTCGGTACCTCTTCTGATGAAACACCCAACACCGGGGGTATCTTCGTGCCTTTTCGTTTTCTTTTATTGACTCAATTGGAAGTGCCATTTGTCACCTTGCTGATGGTCCATGTGTCATGTTTTTTTTTCTACCAATACAATAACCTAAAGCAATTTTGAGCTCACTTTACCACTATACTTGAATTTTTTTCATATCAAGGGGATGCAAAAAAATTATTTTTACTTTATTTATATTGTGTAATTTTTTAACAAAGGAGATTAGGTTGAATCTTCTTCATGCTACCTTGTTCCGCCCATGCTAGTCACGCTTATTGCATGTGCAGGAGAATCACACGTATATGGCTAGACTATAAGACTTAATGCTATTTGTATTTCATTTACAGATTTAAACAATAATTTAACTTTAATTTTTCATTTACCATTAGTAGCAAGCTTTTATATGGTAAATACTTATCCATGCTTAGTATTTATATCAAATCAATCAATTTAATTTTAGTAATTATAATTTAATCAAATTAAGTGATAAATATGTGAATGAAAAATACGTGTCTTATATTTATTGGTTTGTTTTATTAAACAACATGCACAAGTAAATTTTTACCGGTTTTATGATCACAAAAATACTATGAGATTTTAAGATCACAAGTTTTGCAACAATATATGTAGACACTGATTTGTATAGATCAGTGCTGATTCTCTTTTTTTCCGTAGTGGCTAAACACTTACTTTCATTCCTTGCTTTCTGATTGTCTCGAGTTGATGACTATTTAATTTTAAGTTGGCAATACGTAAATAAGAATTGAGCTCTTTTCCAATTGAGGAAAAAAAATAACAAGGAGAAAAGCCTTGACGATTTAATGAAACTAGAATTACAATATGGGATTTACTTCGGGAATCTTACATAAATGTTCGAAATAATTTTCAACTTATCAACCTCTGGTCATTAATCATAAACTTATCAAAACTAGTCAAGCACATATAAAAATTAAAAACTCAAATAAATAAGGTTCTTTCTCTCCAAGAATCACATACAAATATTTCCTTCCATATTTTTAAGCGTGATCAGCAACATNTATATATATAAGATTCTAAAAATCTAAGCAAAAAAATAATATTTTTCAATGAGTATAGTTGAAATTTATTGAAAACATATAGATGGGTCAATATACAAAATCTAAGGAAGATTTGGACTGATTTGGTATCAAAATTTATATTTAAAATTGAGTTCAAAAAATTCCTTTGCGACACATGTATCAAACATATATCACACATGTATACATGGATATACATGTGATACATATTTGATACAAATATGATACATATGTGATACACAGTGTGATGCACATATCAATTTTTTCATGTTCATCTTCTACTTCAAATTTTTAATTCAAACCACCTCAAAACTCCATCAAATCATCCCAAAACTAAGATTCGGGTTTCTTAAGATGTACTTAATCTATTCTTTTAACACCCACTCAAAAGAAAACAAAAATTTGACCAAGCTACAAATAGCTAATTGGCTAATATTCATTATTTGGCAAATATTTATAATATTTTATAAAGTGGTCAATTTCTATAATAACCTACTTATAAGTGGACATATCTGGTAATTTCCCATTTACTTCCACCTTTCATATTGTGGAATAAGAAAATAAAAGAGACTATAGTCATCAGCATTAGGGGTGTTCATGGTTCAGTTTGGATCGGTTTTTTCCTAAAAAAAAACCAAACCAAGTAAGTCGGTTTTTTCAATATTAGAACCAAACCAGACCAATTAAGTCGTTTTTTTCTCGATTCGGTTTATGTCGGGTTTTGTCATTTTTTTTTGGTTTTTTCGTGTCGATTTTTTCTTAAATATAAGACATACACTACCAAACACATATTTTGGCGACCACATTTTCAACATAACACTATCAAATCAATTGCCCTTTGAGAAATCTATTATTTACCAAAATATATTAATGATAATGGAATCAAATAGTGATGAATAATTTAAGGACTCAATTAAAAATATATTATTTTTAACACGAAATGGATTCTTACACTTGACAAAAGAAAACTACCAATCAAAGTAGAATGTAAAGGTAAAGAACTATACTAAAAGTGCAAACTATTAACATTTACCATAAAAAATTTGAAACTTTGTATTAAAATATACATATATATATGTGTAATAATAAATTTGAAATAGCTACTTCTATAACCAGTTTGGTTCGGTTTTTTCCCGATTTTTTTCTGATTAAAACCAAAACTAAACCAAAAAGTATCGAGTTTTTTGGTAGGTTTGGTTTGGTTTTCGGTTTGGTTCGATTTTTCGGGTTTTTATGAATACCCCTAATCAGCATTGATGGTAATGAAATTATAGACAAAATTAAATGCATATATAAAAAATAAATAAAGGCATCTATTTTGTAATTATGAAACTTTGAAGGACCTCATACAATTATCGGAAACTATTGGAGCCTAAATGGAAATATTCCTTCTTTCTGAACTCCAATTTCTATTTAACACTTTTTCCTCAAGCCCCCGAAAGCAAACGAAAACACCTCCAAGTCCACGACCCTATTGCTTCATTTCATTTCGCATCCATTCTCGAGCTCGCAAAATCCCTTTCTGTCTCACACACTCACACAGAAGCTACTCCAAAATCTGCAATGGCGACACTAGGTAGGTTATCGAGAAGAGTCATAGCAACAACTCTCTCCGGTCACCTCAGCCGCCACCAGAATCACAATCTCATCCGCCGCTCGCTGGCGACGGAGGCTCAGGCGGCAATAAAGGAATCGCCGGATCGAGTGAAGTGGGACTACAGAGGACAGAGGCAGATCATTCCACTTGGCCAGTGGGCCCCGAAAGTTGCCGTCGATGCCTACGTGGCGCCCAATGTTGTCCTTGCTGGTCAGGTGACTGTCTACGACGGCGCGTCTGTGTGGAACGGCGCCGTCCTTCGAGGAGATCTCAATAAGATTACAATAGGGTTCTGCTCTAGCATTCAGGAAAAATGTGTGGTTCACGCTGCTTGGTCTTCTCCTACAGGTATATTTACGCTATTTGTCGATAAGATTTGAGTATATTTCATCACAATGAGCTTATTATACTGATTAAAATGATGTCATATTTCCAATTTATATGAAATTTTGTTTTTTACGGAATTTCTGTTTTTCATTGCTTAGGTGAGGTTAATTTGTTGGATATTGATAGTTGAGTTCTATGTTTTGCGAGAAAATTAGTAGTGTGTAAAGGTACTTTAACTAAGTTGCTGAGAACAAAATTGTATTTAGAAGGATTTTGGAACTTAGTGAGGAATGTTGCCTTCTGAATGATGTTTCATCTTCTAAAGTCAAATGTCTACATGAACTTGAGGAATCTGGAAACCTTGTTGAATGCTTATTGATTAGGACCTTACAATCGAAGCAGTCCATCCTGTTGGAAGCTTTCCAAAACATAGAAAGCTTGTAAGTCAAGGGAACAATTGAATCATAGTTTTGGTAATTGGTTCAATTAGGGACAAGTGTTGAACTCTTATTATCTATCTTGCCTTTTCCACAAAAGAGGGGCACTTCCCTGAAGTAAAAATGAGTAGACAATAAGACGCAAATGAAATTTCTAATGCACAAAAAGTAAAGTGTAGATCCCAAGGATGCTAATTGCAGCAAGACAATATAAGTCCCAATACCCAATGTTTTGAAGTGAAACTGAAAATATTCAAAGGTTCGGGGCTTTAAGCAAGAAGAAGCAAAATGTACACACTATTGAAGTGAAGTGGTTTCCAAAACGAAGGAGGATTAGGGGAAGAAGGCCGTTGCAGGAAATGTAACTTCGGAGCTCTAGAAAATGGAAGACGTGCTCTAGTGGGATGCAATTTATGAGCCGTAGCATTAGAAGTAGAGCTGGAGGATAAGGTCATCGCAGTAAAGCTCTAGAGAAGTTGCAACTTCAAATAACTAAGAAGAGGAGCAGCAGAGGCCGTTTTTGAAGCCCTAATTTTGGTAATATTTACTCGGATTTCTTATTTCTTTTTGCTTCTGACGCAAATGTAAGACAACACAGAAGTGCACATGTCTTGCTCTGTTGTTTAATCGCTTCAGCCCTAAAAGCAGTTTAATCTCACTTTGCCTCACTTCGACTCTCAGAATCAAGGGGGCCTTGACTTTGAATGAGAACACAACTTTCTTAGTGATTTACAATGTTGAATAGAAAAATCTTCAGGAAAATAAGGAAAAATATCAACAAGAATTATTGATTGCTTGTTACTTTTCACAAGATCAGCATATTACAGCGGGAAGTGAGTCGTTATGAAAACGGTAAATGCTCTCGAAAGCGTGTTTCTCAAATATATTCTGCAATGTTAAGTTATTTTGATCAAAAAGTGTGGTTGGAAATTAGGATATTTTAGTTTACACCTATAAACATGTTTCTCTCAATGTTATGCCAAAAGCAGTAAGCATCACTAATATATTTTTACCTTGGCAGAGTTGGTTTTAATTTGCTTGTTAAATCTCAGTTGCCTGCTCATGGGCTTCAATATGAGGGTTTTGTAGAGTTCGAAACCCACTGGGTGCAAACAATTTCTGAGGGCCATCGGACTGGGTAAAAACCTGAATTAACCGTGGTGCACTTGCGGGAAACTCCTTGCCGAGGGCCTGTGCACCCCCAGGATTAGTCGGGTCTCTTAGGGACTCGGACACCCGGTGCAAATCAAAAAAAAAATGAGGGTTTTGTAGAATTTGTGAAGGGGTTACGGAAACTTTTGAAAGAACTTGAATAGATTCTGACCTAAGACTTGTGGAAGTCAAAATTGTTAATTACAAAAACTTTGATTCAGGTTTTAGCATGTTATACCTATAGTCACCTGCTGCCTGAAACATTGCTCAAACCTCTCTCTTTTCAGGACTTTGTCTAACAACTTTGTTTCAATCCACAAGCAGACAGATTTGCCCCTTGATAAATTACTTCTCTTATTTGTGTTAACAAAAAGTACATTTTCTTAGTATTTGCTTATGAATTTAACCCTTCCATGACATTTCATCTCTTCTAAATGAATCCACTGCTCTCTAAAAAGAAGAAATAATAATTAAGCAATTAATGAACCGCGTTCTTAGGTTCAAATTCCAGTGGGAGCAAAAAACATTAAGTGGGAACAGAGTTACCCGGTACTTGCACAGGTGGGAGCTAGCAGGTACCCGGTGGAACACTCGAGGTGGGCGTATGCTGGTATGGACACCACCATCATTCTAAATGAAAAAGAAATTACTCAATCAATTGCATCTCAAATCCAAACTATTCGGGGTTGGTTGATGAACCCTCTACATCCATTCTGTTCTAATCGAGCTTGTTTCATTCCAATACTAGTAATGAGTAATCATTTTATCTTGTAAGGTAAATTAGAGTTCTCCAAAAGTAGGGTTATGTAAATCTCACGCTTATCACTATGTTTACATGGAAGTGTTCCTTACCAAAAAAAAGTGTTTACCTAGAAGTGTATAGCCAGACTAAAAAGACTGATGACAAATATTGAACCTAATTTGAATGTGATAACAGTAACTAATCTTTAATCCTGTCTAGTTGGTAAAAAATATAAAGAAAAGTAAATCTCAAACATATAATTATGAATAAACAAGTATTAGTCAAGCTGAGAAGAAAGAGAAATAAGACTTTGAGCAATTCCTTGGGGAAGGATCCCATATGGTGAGCTGCAAACTGCAAAGTGAAGAGAAAGACGGCCTATCTTCACTTTCGCCTGAAAGTGGAGGAATGTCTCATTAGTTATATAACTAACCATTCCATTAAACAATTAAAAATTTTACTGGGTGGGGGCTATGGGATGCTGTATCCTCACAGGGGGTAACATAACTTATGCAGACATGCCTCTCATATTCATGTTTTATGCAGCTGGTTGATGTAATGAGTAACCACTGAAATCTTGACCCTGCTGCATAGTTCATCCTACAATAGAGTAAAATTGAAGAAAATGACTGCTGCCTCTCACTGTAATATTGAAATGACAAAACTGCCCAAAGAATTATAAAGAAATGACAGCAAACAGTGTGTTTGAATGACGTATCACATTTTCTGTTAGCAACTTAAATAATATCTGAAAGAATGCAGTATTGAAGTTCGGACTTTGGTGTTCCCCTTGAAGACAGATCCAAATTTTCTTGTGATTTTGCTGATTATGTTCTTATACAACTGCTACGTTGTTTAAAACTTGAAACTATCCAGTTGTCACATTCTTAATGTTATGTGGTTTAGAATTGATTTAACGCTTTGAAGGGCCAATTTTAGTTTATGCCTTATCAAAGATGTTATGGATTTGCTATGAAGTTTGATGAAAATATATAGGGATAGGAAGAATGATCTTCAGATGATAATCAGTGACCTAGAGAATCCGTATGTTTAGAGTGTCGAGAGAAGTCCTTTACTAGGTATTGGAGGAGAAAAGAATTCATATCAAATATTTGATGAATCTTTTACCAACTCCATCTGAAAGCTTTTAAGATTTTTGATATTTGTGGTTGTCTTTAGTTGCATATCCCTTATTTCACTTAGAAACTGCATCTTCTTGGAGCATTCTGAGGTGATCAAACCTCTTATCAGTCTTATCCTCAAGTAGGTTGATTTCTTTTTCCTAGTCCAACTAAGATTTGCAGCTAAGCAGAATGA